GTGTAGTGCCTGGAACTCCAAATTGAATGTATACATCTCAAACTCTTAGAGGAAAATCTGGTCACAAAAAAAAAAAGGCTTTTGTACTTACCATAAAATCTATTTGTTGGAGTCTATTTGACAGACACATAAATTCTAATAAAGTCTAGTTATACTGCCATCTACAGGAGGTTTGGACAATGGCAAACAGAAAAACTGTAAGCCGGTCCCCGTAAACCCCTCCTCTACCAAGCATGCCCCAGTTTTGTGAAAAAGGCAGTACCAAGAACCACACCATAAAACAGAGATGGGTTGGACCTGTGTCCCTCAATGGACTCCAAGAAATAGATTTTACAGTAAGGACAAAAATCTATCTTGTTCATTGAGGGACACAGGAATTCAGATACAGTTGGGACATCCAAAAGCAGTCAACTTGGGGCTGGGCAACAGCTACTGACAGGTCCATAAGAAGGGACTGGGGGACTGCCTGCAATTTAGAACCTCAGAAGCATGAGCTAAAAAAATGTTGAGAAACCAAACACCCACCAAAACAGTTGAAACAACATAACTACCTGATAAGAGGGATACAGACCCACACCACAATATGGTCAACAGAAAAAAAAAACACTGGGGCAAGCCCCCAGAGGGAACCTTAGACTTATCAGATGGTCTGCATAATTTGGCACCAGCCATAAACTCCGAACCCTTAGGATTCAGGGATAGAATGTTCCATGATAAGGAGGAAGTTGCCTGGCCAAGTTACTCAAAGAATGTTATAATCATCACAGCGCAATACCCCATAAAGATGGCTACGTGATTCCTGAGACCAGTAGAGAACTCAAGGATAGCATGTCACAAAGGGGTAGAGTGCATGAAAAGTATCCCGACAAGGATAGGCAGGAATGAGAGGTACATTACAATTTCAGACTTGTTAAAGTAGGAACTACAAGAACTGAGAAAGCCTTCTAGAGAAACTTCCTCAAGAGGCTTCAGGCCGCCAACCGCAGAAATAGGACCTAGCTCCAGGTAATTAAGTCCCATGTGTCTAGATGGAGTACAACTCTAAAATCTCCCCACTTACAGGTGAAACTCGAATAATTAGAATATCGTGCAAAAGTAATTGCAGTAAGTGCTCCAAAAGGGGCCCAAACCAAGTACTGAGTACATATGCATGCTTGTACTTTTCAGAGGTCCGATATGGTTCTATGTACAATCCTTGTTTTATTGATTGCATGCAATAATCTACTTTTTTGAGGTTGTGGATTTGGGGTTCTTGGGGTTTTCATGAGCTGTAAGCCATAATCATCACAATTATGACAAATCACGGCTTGAACCATCTTGCTTTGCATGTAATGAGTCTATCTCATGTATTAGTTTCACCTTTTAAGTTGCATTAGTGAAATAAATGAACTTTGCACGATATTCTAATTATTCGAGTTTCACCTGTATACAGGGACAAAGGAATACATGGAAGTTGCACGGATTTGTGCAGTAGCACAAGAATGAAAATGGGCAACCAAAGGAGGTGACAGCAAAAAGAGTTTAGCCTGTGGGCTAAAATAGGTGTCCTCAGCACCCAAATGTCAGAGATGCAAGCTACCCAAGAACCTGTCTGGGTGCACAAACAGCCCCCCAAGTGCAAAAGTGGAGGTGCACCTTCATGCAGAAGATTTACAGAGGGGTTAACTGACCTCCGACTTGCGGTTGAAATAGATGAAGGGTGGGAATCCTGCAACCCATCTGCAGTCCTCTTGTGTTGAGGCAGGAGCACACTGGTCAAGCTTGGTATTGCTAATAGCAATGTCATGAGCAGTGGTGAAGAGGCAATGTCCCTCAAAGGTTAATTGATTCAGATACGCTTAGGATGCAGCATCCTATCTACACAGCCAGAGTGCTCTGTGCATCCGAATGTTAGACACAAATGTAAGTGCTTGTAACAAGCCATCACATCTAAAGTACAAGGCTCCAGGTACACCACAGCAGTGGAGGGAATACTTTTATGGAAACTACCCAATCTGACATGGTCTGACAGATTAAAGCATTTGCCAAAATGGCAAGACAAGTCAATTCAAACTGGGACTGTCAGCTGCCAGTGGAATCTTAAAAGGAGAGCATGACCTTAACCAGTCTAGTGGTATTCCTGTTATGTGGGTCATTGGTGTGCCTATGATGGGAGCAGACCACTAATTTCCAAATGCCCTTTCAAAAAAGGGAAGATTGCAACACACTCTTAGGTGGGCAAAGGCCCCTTCAGTCTGCATAGAAGAATGTCTCGTGGGTCTAGTGGAAAGGTCTTTGCAGCTGTAAGAGTTTTAACCAGTTGACATCCGCGGTGTTAAACCCCCTTCCCATCCAGGCCATTTAGACATGTAATAGCAGGGTAATCCCCTGGGTGCAGGGTAGCTTGCACTGTAGCAATAAGTTTTGAAACAGCCTGTAAATCTGAGGTAATGACAGGAGAATGCAGACTCTCAAAACCAGTCTTTTCAGAAAGACTGCTGGGATTCTAAATCTGACTCTGAGATGGTGACAGGGACCACAGGCCTGACTTGATCTAAGGACTCAGGAGGTCAAAGACTGGCTGCAGGGGAAGGCACAGAGCCTCTTTGGGCAGTGTGCCCAAATAACTGAGGACAAACAGCTAAAAGGTCCTGAGTGGATATTGAGGTCCCTGTGGACATGGGTCCTCTCCAAATAGAGCTGATGGTGACGGCCCTATAACAATATGGTCCCTGGTTCTATTACAGGTGCAGGTTCCTTCTGAGGATACTTAGAAAATGCTCCCAGAACCACTATGGGAGCATGGCCTAACATCATCCGTGGCAGAGGGACGGTCCTCTCTCTGTCTTAGAGAAGACATGTTAGTCCCCGAAGTGGTAATGCAACTAGGCTAAAATGTAATGCAAAGCCTCAGGTACTCCCAAACCAAGGGGCAATTGGTGCTGATGAAGTTCTTAGGTGGCTGGTGGTGACTAGATCACTGTAGGCAAGCAGTAAAACAAAACTGGAGATCCATGTGGTGATTCATGATCAGAAGCAACACTGGGATGGTGCTTCCTCCAGGCTAAATAGCTGGAAAGAGTGCATGCCCATCACTCCACCCAGCAGATGATGGCAGCGCTCAATTTCTCAGCCTTAGCACTTACCATGGTGAGTGCTGGGAAATTTGAAAGGGCTCAGCAGTGTAAAAAGCAAGGTACGGTAGCTCCTGGTGTTTTAGCCTAAAGATTCCAACTCATAAGTAAATCTTCGGAGACCGGGTAACACCTGGGGCTGTGCCACGCCTTCGGTTCCGAGAAGCATTGCACGGCTAATTAAACAGTACAATCTAGTGTAGAAAGCGCCATAGTATAGAGTTCAGTGCCCAAAGGTCACATCTCAGGTTAGCCCCGCATGTACAGACCAGTGAGGTCTGGGTACGGCCTGTAAAGCCGATCCAGATAACTGTTATATAGAGACTAGCTCAAGCATTGGCACAATGAAGAATCTTGATTAATAATGCAGAGGAAAAAATCCATGAAGAAAAGAAGGCAGGCAAAAATATTTTTTTATAGCAGAGCTGAAGAAAAAGTGTTAAATCACCTAGGACACCAGCAAAAAAACTAAAGACATGCTGGACAGAGGAGGGGTTACACACGGGGGCTGTCTTACAGTTTTTGTGTGTCCAAACCTCCTGTAAGGAATGTGCTTTTGAACGCGCTAGAAAATGTGACTATTCCAGAAGAGTTAATCCCCTAGCACAGTAACATCCTTTCTTGCACATCATAGCTCTTTTCTTCTGGGAGTGTCTAAATTCTAGGTAAGTTCCTTATACCGGGGTAAGTCTAAAAGTGGACCTTTACCCATATCTTTAAATTGACAACAAACACACCTTTAGAAATATTTAGTAATGACAATCTACAAACACATACTTCTAGATAACTGCATCCTTTGTATTCTTTGCATACCTTATTATTATTTTCTTCCCTAATCTTCTGGTAGTGGCCATGTTTACTAAGGGCAGCTTACTAGCTCTCCTATTATTTCCTGGATTTATGGCACATGTGACTAGGACATGTGACCATGCACATCACCTCAGGGGAGGAAAATGCCTTTCCCTGAGATCTTGTGAGATTACAGATGAGATTTCCCAGCAATACTCTGCTGATGACAAGGCAATCCCAGTGTGCACTGCTTTGGCAAAGTGAAGTCATTTTCACTTTCAAAGCAGGAATACTGCAAGTGTAAGTATTCCAAAATCACAGCATTTCACACCGGACACGTCTATGTTATTATTAATCATCATACATAGAGGGATGCTTTGGTAGAATTTGATGTTTGACTGTAAAGGTCCGCTTTAAGAGATTACACAATGTATTAACATTTGCTATACAGCTGAGCAAAGCCAAATGTTTTATGCCCTCATCCATTTACATCTTCTGACAGGCTGCAATGTATTTTACTAGAATTATAGAGATGGAAACCCATTGGATATAATATATGTAACATTATACATTTATGACAAAAGAATGAAGATCTGCTTTGCTATCTTTGCCACTTGGATAACAAGCAAAGATATTTTCAGCCTATCACATAACTGCGATTTAAACAGATATGAAACCTGAATCAGATTATATAATCTAGTTTTTGAGTCAAAACATTATCAGGTGTGTAAAATATTTAAATGTGTCTATATAAAATTTGGAAACAAAAAAGGCAGAAGAGCTCCAAAAATGCATATTGGCATCTGGGTACATAAACTTACAATTATGGATACAGTAAATATACAGCATGAAATGGCCCTACATTATGAAAACCAACAAATATGAAGAGTGTGACTGAATATTCTAATAAACTATTCAAAATAAACATCACTGGCAGCAAAAATAAAGACATGGTTCTGATACCGATTTAGGAACATATATTAATACTTTTTATTAATACTTAAAATTCACTTCTCTCTCCCCAAAAAAGTTACTTATTGAGGAAAGTCTTATTTCAGTTCCTAGTGGGTTTCTTTAGGTATTTAATGTGATGCTCACCTTTTTTGCCATAGAAGCCACTACGGACTATGTCAGAATCATCTTTAAACCTGCAGAGAACAGCAGACATCAAGCAATCACCATTTGCAAAATGTTATGAAAAAGTTATCTTTTTTTAAAATTTAACATTAAAATCATTTCCTTAGATAGTTCAATGAGGAAAACAGCAGATGTGAGGTATAAGCTCTGTCCCTAGGCAGATGGACACTAAGCAAAAAGCAGAAAGGCATGTCCCAATTTTTTACTGCTTACTTACTGCAGTGCTTTAAAGAGGAACTTTAACCTTCAAAAATAAACAACACCAAAGGCACCTTTAGAAATGTTTAATGCTGGCAATCTACACAGAGATACTTCTAGATAATTGCCGACTTTTACTCTTTGCATACCTTATATTACCCAGGTATCTCTAAATCTGTCCTTTATTGTATGAGCAAGAAACATATGTTTTTAAAATTGTGCATAGTCTAGTGCAGTGGTTCTCAACCTTTCTAGGGCCCAGGACCCCTAGGAAACATTTGCAAGTTTTGGTGACCCCCAACGCTAAAATCATTATTTATTTTTTATTATTATAATCATTTGTTTAAATTTTTTTTTTTACTTGTCTACCTATGTTTAAAACTTTTTAATAATATTTTATTATTGTTTACTTGTCATTGTCATCAATTGTTTTGTTTTTTAATTTACTTGAATGATATTTATATTATTTTTTTTATTTTGTTTTGCTTGTTAGCAATTTTTAATTTGTATTTTTTACTTTTTTCCCACTTAACTTTATTGCTATCACACAGGAGGTAACAAGCCACTGTGTGAAAGCATTTGGAGGAGACAGGTTCTCTTTATTGACCTCCAATACAGGAGTGCTAGCACAGCATTGTGCTGGAACTCCTGTGACAGCGGAGACAGGAAGCCTGTGTGCAAAGCGTTCTTGTCCCACTGTTAACAGAGAGCAGACCGGAGAATGGAAGTTCTCCAGTCTGCTCCCCATGCTGAACTAATTTGCCTTGGTCCTGGATCCCCCAGAAGAGCAGGAACCCAGAAAACAACGGTGGGGAGGAAGGTAGCCGGCAGAGGAGGATGGACTAGGAGAGGCTGAGGAAGGGGGAAAGGCTTAGAAGCCTCCTCATAGCGCAACAGGGGGTTGCAACCCACTTTTGGGTCATGAACCACAGGTTGAGACCCACTGGTCTAGTGCACACACTATTTTACTGCAAACAAGGACTGTTTTTGGTATGCTTGGATGTACAAGACCTTTGACTTACCCAAAAAGGACAGTAGGATTCTAGTGTACATCTCTTTTCTTTTATTGTTTTGTTATCGTTATTTATTGTTATCATCTCATCTCACTTATCATATCTTTATTCAGCAACCCAGCTTCTGGCCTGGGTTTTAACCTCCTCACTACACAAAGTCTCCCTTCTCTTAGCTGTCCTAAAGATCTAAAGGAACAAATTCAGACCAAGGTTGTGCATGTTCTGTAATAAAATATAACACAATTTCAAGTATCTTGGCAAAGGAACATGCAGGAGATCTAAAAACTGGCTCTTACAGATCTGTCTTTTCCATATCCCAGGGACGGCGCCACTCTCCTTTTGAGTTCTTATGCCGTGCCACACGGTCAAGATCAACTTGTTCACGCTCTTTCTTCCACCTCAGATATTCAAGATCATCCTGTACAAAGTAAAAAAAAGACTTTTGAGCTTTGTGGGGGCAAACATTACTTACATGCAAAAACAACATATAAATCAAACTATCCATTAACAAACAAAAAAAAACACCTTGAAAATGACAATACCTAAGAATTAGTTATACAAAGGCATACTTTAAGGGTCAGAGGCTTATGGACAACAGGTAAGCAAGCAACCCCATCTGGTCTGGTAACACTACAGATTATTTTAGGACTAATATCAGGTCAGGCAGGTTACTGGCCTACAAAGTAATTTGAAGGCCAGAAAAGCTTCTTAATGCACACTTATGTTCAACATGTTGGGAAATATCTGTGCAAGTGGATGTCGATTGTTCTCCTTTCTATATAAAAAAAACAATTATGAGTAATTCTCCACTTAAATTCCATATACTCCGACCAACTGAATCAATATGGTCTCAGAGCTACTCAAGAGCTTCTCATGTCATTGCTCTCCACACCAAAGAAATAACATAAGAGAGTCAAATATTTTTTCAGTGAAGTGCCTTCTTTAATGAAGTCATCAATTACATTTGCTTTTGTTATCAGCGAAAACACATAACGATATGATCAACCTTGCCACTTTACATTAGAGCTTACCTTACTGATTTGCTCTTTCACGCCAATTTTCTCTATTTCTTCATGCTTTTTTCCAGCTTTCTTCTTGGCTTCCTAAAAAAAGAAGAGATCACACAACAACATATCACATAAAATGAATACAATCTGGTCCTGCATTATTGTGTTTGCAATGGACATGGATCACAGATGAAGAAGTTAATACAAATGGGTTTACGTAATATTGCAGTGCAAAGAGAAACTGCACAATTGTTTTAATAAAGTTTTGTGCTGATGTCATGTCCCCAAATCTATATGTGCTTTGCCCATTCAAAAAAAAGCATCCTATGATGAAACGGCAGCCATGCGTCAAAACACAGAGGCGGAGTCACGACACCGGTGCACAAAAATTGGGAAGACTAAAGCCACTCTATCTGTAAAAAATAATTCAAGGTAGCTGTTTTGGCCACATCGTTCTCAGTGTCAGAGAAGTGACCAGCTCTTTCCCTCAACTAACAGGTAGTCATGGTAAAAACCAGAAAATTTATATTTTCTTTACAATAATAGTGAACAAGGTAAAGTTGTGTTCAGATTGAATACCCAGTTATATGCGAGGAAAATATAAAAAACATTTGTGAAAACCGCTTTTTCACGAACATTTACTTTGCCAAGTAAACCACCTTTACAGCGGTAATCAACCGCATTGTGGGTATTAAAGAGGAACTGAACCCATATTTTCAAAATAACAACAAGGCACCTTTAGAAATGTTTCGTAATGACAATCTACAAACACATACTTCTAGATAATTTCCGGCTTTTTATTTTTTGCATACATTGTTTTTCTTTCCGTCCCAGTCTTCTGACAGTGGCCATTTTAACTAAGGGCAGATTACTAGATCTCCCTTTACTTCCTGGAACTCTGACACATGTGACTAGGACATGTGACCATGCAAATCATCTCAGGGGAGGGAAATGCCTTTCTCTGAGATTTTGTGAGATTACAAATGAGATTTCCCAGCATCTGCTGATGTAACCTTTCCAGGATGCATTGCTTGGGCACATGACAGAGTGCACCAGGAAGTGAGGAAAATGCTCGACAAAAGGCTCACTGCTGCCTAGGATAGCTCCACATGAAAGTACATCCGCACTCCTTGAATCTTCAGCAGAATCAAAAGTATTTATTCCTGATGTCCATAACACATGGTAACACACAGATCCCATGCAAGGGGGATCTGTGTGTTACCATGTTACCATCCCATGCAAGGGCAACCTCTTATGCGTTTCACTGCTTAGGCGTACTCATAGAGGTCATGATTCTGATAAAGATTCACGTACTATCATGTAAAATAAAAATGTTTGTTTAGCTAAAGAATGTAAGATCATTTCATATCAGCATGCAGAGCTGTATGCTGATGTGATTTTTAGACAAAGGGGGTAAAGGTCCACTTTGAGGCCCCTCATGATCAGAAAATGTTAGAGGAAAATGTGCATTTATCAGCCCGGAAGCTATGCTATGGGGCATCACAATGATCTGAAACATAAGGCCAAGATGACCCTTCAGTGGCTGCAGCATAAAAAGTGAAGGTTTTGGAGTGTCCATCACAATCTTCTAACCTCAAAATCGGTGAATCACTTTGGGGAGATTTTTAATATGTAGTTTATGCTAGACAACCAAAAAATTTACAGGAGGCTTTGCTGCTAAAAAGAAAAAGAACAGGAATTTGCCCTGCTCTTGAAATACCTGGAACCGGTTTATTCAGTAGTAAGTGTTGCGGATCTCTCGGGATATGAAGCCGGAGGATCTCAAAGAGCAGGGCAAAAAACCTATTCCAAAAGCGGAGCAATTTTGGGCACTGCCACCAAATGTGGATCATAGTGCCTCGCTGATTGCATCCTCTAAAACATAGGGGGCTCGTCGCAGGAAACATAATTGCCAATCTAACCGGGACAAGGTATCATCTAGAAAAAACTTTAAAATTGGCCTCTGCTAGGGAGACGTTGGGGATTCCCATCATCAACCTCGTAGTGCATTGTTGCCATTCTTCCAACGAGAGAACAGCACCTAGGAACAGCACCATGGGAAAAGCCCCTTTTTATATGTGAACTGATCAGACAAAAACAAGAACTTAACCCTTGCAGTGCTGGGGTGGCCAGCACTTCAAGTTAGTAGTAACCCAGGTGTAGCACAGTTCCAGAACCCACATTAACATGGAGGGCTGGAGCAAGGGTTCCTGGGTGAAAAAAAACAACAAAGAATGTGGAAGGTGAAGAGTCCTGATCAGCATCACAGGGGAAAGAATAGAGAGCAAATGAAAGGGGCACCAGAGACAAGAGATTGTCCTGTGGAATGAAAGAGGGGCTCTCTGTAGATGAATGCCAAAAGACCCACCAGGATGCACAACCAGGCCCCCACTTGAAGAAATGGGGGTGAACTATCATGCAAAAGGCTTTTCAGAGGTGTTATCTGACCTTAACGTTTGAGCCTTACAGGCTAAGCAGGAGTCAGGCTTAGAGGGCATGGGGGCACCCAATACAGAAGTAGATAAGGAAGGGTGAAATTCAGCATACTACTTCATAGATGACCTACATTGGGGCAAGAGCACATTCTGGCCTCATGTGACATTACTGGCCATGTTGTCCAGTAAAGGGCCAAAGAGACCCTTGAAGGGCCCATCAAGTTGGGTGCTCTTTGGATATGTCATCAGTGTCCCAGAAACACAAGCATAGTTTTGCTGCACATCTGTGTGGACACCAGACCCATGATGCATGTAACTCATCACAACTAAAGCATATAGAAGTTTTGTGAGCCAATATGGTGCCTTCCAGCAGCTACCGCTCTTGAACGCACTGCAATTGGTGTGAACAAGCCCTAGAAGGTCTGTTACATACACCTGCCCTTGCCGAGTACAAATCTAGAGCTATCCAATTAGCAGGAAGCAAGGGTTTTGTTGAATGCAGAGCTATACGTCTGACAGAGCAAATGTCCTTCTCTGCAGCATGCAAACACCAATTTCTGATAGGGAGCTGCTAATTTTTGAAAACATCAGCTATCAAATATCTAGGCTAGTTTGACTTAGATGTTGAAGAATCATACCACTCAGCCTGCACCTTCTTCAAACCTCTTAAAGATCAGTGAACCAACGCTAAAGTTTTGTTTTTTTGTTACATGCAGGGTCCCGAAACTATAATTAAGTGGAGCTTAAGGCAAAATAGATGCACTAAGCTTCAAAGTCCAGTTGTGGGCTGACAACACACAGTCTTTTTTGTGGACTGAGTAGTGTCAGCCCTGCCCAGTATCTTTTCCTTAACTAATCAACTCCTCCCACTCTGAGATCTCTATGGCTCCAAAGGTATATATTCTGTAGTCCAAGAAAAGAACTAGGAGGGCTCTTTGAGATAACACATGAAGTGGACACCACTGAATTTCTGGAAAGATCAGCAGTTTTTTGGGGGGGCTCTTATCAATTAGATATAACAAAATGCTTCCCATGGTAAATTAAACATGTCAAAAGGGAGAAAATAAGAGAAGCTCATTGTTAGGGTTTACATACACGTTTATACAAATAGTCTTCTACACAGTCCAATGATCTCTTCATGGGAGTTCATACAACTGTAACTTCCAGCATTCACAGTATAAAGCGATGTTTATTGAGCTTTAGCACTGGCTGTGCTCAGGATTAGCAGACAAGTCAGCAAGCATTATTTATGCCAGCTTTGCAATTCAGCGTGCTAACTACTGCAAAGCCTCTTGTTCTTTGGTATTGTGTGAGGCTCTTGCCAACTGACATAGCATTCTTTTTGTCTAATGTTTCTGACCATAAAAGGAAACAGAGCAGCTCTGACTTTTACACTGTAATTTGACATTCATCATGATAAAATAGAACAGGCAAAAATAAAGGGAGCAGCAAGCACACCACACTATGCACCACTTGTGTTTCTCTTTAATGAAAAAAAGGATTTTACATGGCAGCATCCCACCCAAACCTGGTACCTCGGTTCACGAACTTAATTGGTTCCACGATTCTGGTCGCGAACCGAATAAAATTTCCCCATAAGGTTCAATGTAAATAAGGTTAATCCGTTCTGACCCCTATGAACGTGGCCGCGAACCGATTTTGGTCACGAACAGAATCAAATTTTCCCATAGGGTTCAATGTAAATGAGGTAATCTGTACTGAACCTTATGTAAAAAGACATTTTAACCACAAAAATATGAAAGTACAGTACAGTATGAAGAAAGTGAACACTAACCTTTCTTGAGGTGACTTTGGACGTGGAGGACAGGAAGGTGGGTGGGGAGGAGGTTATTTTTTGGAAGGAGAGTCCCCCCTCCATAAGGACATCAGTGAGATCTCTTTCAGGGTTTTCCCCTCCTCTTTGTCTCTTAGCTGCAGGGTCAATTTTAGCGAAAAATCTGTCTGTCACTTGTTTTTTCCTGCGTTGCGATCTCGACTAGAGAGAGCCACGACCACGTGTCAGAGCAGGAAAGATGGCCGCGGTCGTGTTCGTCACCCGATGCAGAGCTCGTGAACGGAGGCAAAATTTTGCCAAACTTCCTGTTCGCGAACTGAATTGTCCACGAACAGAAGCGTTCCATGAACCGGGTTACCACTGTATTTGTTTAAGGTAGATATCCACCTCAGTAGTCAGAACTCTATGCTTGAATTCCCAGCACTGCATACCCACCCTAGTAATTATGAGGAATACGTCTCTTTATTAAATTGTTAATTCATATCGTATGATGGAGAATACACAGAGTGAGATCACCTACTTTGGACCACGTGGTACAAGGCTCCAAAGCAAGAGATAAGGCTCCAAAGCAAGAGATGTAACACGTTTGCGGACCACAAGACTCCATGAGTAACTAAAATATAAATTGTGGGTGGACTAAACCTTTTAAGTGTTAAATGATTCTCATGTCCATAAAGCAGAGTATACAACACAACACTGCTTTCAGGAGGAAAGCAGTATCTATAGAAATATCCTGCATGAGAAAACTCTGTGGCTGAACATCTGCTGCTGTGAGGCCAAGAATGATTGATGCATCAAATAATACATTCTGAAACTCAAGATGTTTCCTTCCAGCCCAAAGAATCATCTACATATCCATATTCAGC